CAAGAACGGCGTTCTCGGCTTGACCGGAGAGGTTACCTCAGCATCTTGTCGATTCCTCTGGAGGTAATCTCTCAGATCCTCTTTGGTCCGTCCAAGAGCTCGGCTATCTACGGATTTTAGCCTCTTTGGCGCGCTACTCCCAGTGTCGTTATGGGTCCTCTTGGACCTCTCTCCATTGGTCGTGTCGAAACAAAGTTCCTTCCCTTGAACATGCCGATGTTCTTTGGGATCAGCTTCTTTGGTACGATGTGTCCTCTGAGAATCTCCCTTCATTGACTCTGCTCGTCCGACCTCCCTTGAAGGCCGGTGAGAGTGTTCCTTGGTCCTCGTGTGCTTGGGGACTGGAGGAACTGTTTTTTGCCCCCCTTTCTAGACATCTTTTTTGGCTGCTGGAATCGGAGTATCTTGTAACGGAAACGGTGGTTGCATGACGTTGTTCTGCATCATGAAATTGATGACCAATTGCAGGTCTGCCAATTTGTTCGCCATTCCTTTCATCTCGCTGTCCCTCCGCAGGCATCTATCTTTCGATACCTGGAGGTCGTCCTCGTTGTAATACCCGCCTCGGTCTGACTTCTTTGGTACGTTGTCCTCCTAGCCGACGTCTTTCTCTCCGGGATTCTGATCTCGAGTTTCTTCGTTGCAGTTATCCTCTTCTAAGTTAGGATCAAAGTGTTTACCACTTCCAGTAGGGATGTCGTCCCCAATCTTCTCTTTCTGTCTATCGCTGGCTATCTATTCTCCTTTCTTTCCCATAGACGGCGCCAAATTGTATGTGTTATTTTCTGACCACACTGCCAAACAGGTACTCAGCTAGAGAACACCGACAGAATAGATTGCGCCCGAACGACCTGTCACAGAAAGATGAGACTCCGGCGGTGGTTCGTCCACCCGAGGACACTCCGACGATCAAGTCAGTAATCAATATCTCTCAAAGATAACCAATTGTGCTTAACTCACAAGCCAGAATACAAAACGCATACCTTAGACCCATGAGGGTGTCTTACTTTTATAGTCAACACTATCCTGATCCTTGTAGAAGCCTAGCTTCTCTTGGACTCTAGCCCAATACTCCTCCTAGACTCTCTAATAGATAAAGATAAATTCCCTAAGAGTTTTATCCTTATCCAGGCTAAGGTCCTCCCACATTCTAGGACTCTTATAGCTTATCCGTCTATCCCGGATTCCGGTATCTCCGCAGATAATCTCGGCCTAGCCGAGATCTTCTCGGCGTCAAGACCAAGACACGTGGCACCTCGGTTGGCACTTCGGTGCCACTTTGGCCACGTGTTGTTATTCAAAAAATATGCCCCCACACTTAGCATTAATCTATGCATAAAATGTGCAGATTTTGGAAGGTGGCACGAGTCCATGGTGTTTGTTGGCTTGAAATTTAGGGCAACATGAAGACTGGAAAGCTATCCCCAAAGACCACTTATATAGCATTCATTATATTCAAAATCATGGAGAAATTTTTTGGACTTGAATCGGTCCCTATGAAGGTATCAGTTAGATTTGTTGGTGAAATGGAAGTTGGCAATGGAAAAGAAGATTACGGCAGCACTGTGTATTTGAGATTTCCATCGGACAGACCTGTTACTGAAGATCACAACGGTCGGGTTCCTCTCAAAAGAGAAAAGACAAATGGATGGAGATTGATTGGGGGAATTTTTCAACGATAAAGGAAATGATGACAGCGAAGTGGATATACGACTGCGGGAGGTTAAGGACCTCGGCTGGAAATCTGGACTCCTTGTCAAGGGTATTGAGCTTCGGCCTTAAGCTGTTTGAGCAAAAATGAATAAAGCTTGAGACCTCTAATTAGAGGTGCCACTAGTGATGTGGCAGTGGGTCTCACCCACTGCCACATTGTGTGTTGTGTCTTTTCATTTTCTTTTTTTACCATTTTCATGTCACTAGTGGTGAATTTAGAGATCTAAAAGCAAAAAATATTGAAAAAATTGCAAACCTACCCAGTCTTGATCAAATCACATGATTTGACTAGACTTAATTTGATTTTTTCAACACCTTCATTCAATTCTTGTTTTCAAATGTTTTGAAACTTTCAAATTAAGTTAGTCAAGAGGAAATAAATTTAATACGGTTGTGCAAAAAAATAAAAAAAAAAATTGGAATACTATTCTGTCCTAACCAACTTGGTAAGTTTGGTTTGATTTTTTTAATTTGTGATTCGGTACTGATTTGAAAAATTAGAAATTTCATAATCGTGGATTGGTTTCAGATTTAAATCAAATCAGACAATATAACTTAAATCATATATGTTTATTTGTTGCACCATTAACTCTTATATCATAACACTACTTAAGGTATAACCAAAGAACTCTCGAATCATAATTAAAATAATATCATAATCAACATCACAATAATTCATACTAACACTACAAACGTCATAACCAAAGATTACAAAAATTGTAACCAAAAATGCATATACTGTAAAATTTCCTCATGTAGGGTATATATATTTTTCCATTTTACAATGTCAGATTTTGTGTATTTTATCTAAATTATGACATTTGCGAGATTACTTATCACAAATGTTATAATCAAAAGAGTTATTTAAGATGATTTAAATAAGTGTATTTTTTACTTTTCACGAAAAGATGTGCAAAAAAAATAAAGAGGTGATGTGACTTAAAAAAAGATTAAAAAAATAGATAAATATACGTTTTAGTACATCTCAAACCACTCGATATGATAATATGTACA